TTTTTGTGGAACCGGGGATTGAACTCAGACCCTTGTGCTTGCCAGGCAAGTGCTTATTCTACTGAGCTATCTCCCTGGCCCTGGGAGGTCCATTCTAATAACTTGGTCCTGCGTTTTTGACTCAAACATTGTTCTCATTTTTCCAAATTTAAGGCTGGAGACCCTACTTATACTGTACTTTCCCAAACCATTGTTCATAGGAATTGGGGTTTAGGTTTGCCTGGTAAATGTCAATCTGGAAAGGCAGAGACAGGTTCACACAAGTACGTCTGCTGGTTGCAAGAATTGTACCATAGACTGGAAACTGATCCTCTGGAAGCTATGAGGCCACCCGTCTCTCTGTCTCTAGAGAGGAGCCTGCCACTTCTCCAAAAGATTCTGGAGGCTTTCCCTTTCAGGGGCTTTGGGCAAATCTCTGTGCTTACTAGGAAACGCTGCCTAGACTAGACCTTCACAGTATGTGGGAGCTTGCTCCCTCCTCCCTTCTACCACTGCTCCTCCAGACAGGTCAGCCTATGGGCTTTATGACTTCAGGACAGTGGCAAAAGGCCCCAATACAAGGATGAAGCTTGGGCCCGTGAGATAGCTCAGCAGGCTAAGCGCCTGTGTAGGCAAGTGCAGGGACACTGGCAACACAGGCCGCAATGGCCCTGCCTCCAGGCATGTGTCTAAGCTGGGTAGTGAGACTCTGTACCAAATACATTTAAAAAAAAAAAAAAAAAGATAAAGCTTTTGTAGATACTCATATCTTCTGGTTCCTCCCAATAGAGATGGCAGGGTGGGTGCCAGTGCCACGTCCTTGGGCTTGCCTGCCCTCTGTTGCCCTGTTGGTTGCCCTCCCTGAGGCTCAGGGAGGACCAGGCTAGTAGCTCTTATGTTGGGCCAGCATCTTTTGTAGGTATGGATGTCTTGTTGCTGCCACTTCTGCCCTGAACCTTGGGCGGGGAGAGTGTCAGACAGGGCTTGTACATTGCAGGTGATCCCTAGAGGCAGAGCCCTGATCAGGGGAGGAGAGGGCTGACGGGTCTGGGCAGGGCCAGCCTGCTTATGCCCTGCTGTGTGACCCCTGCTGCCCGCAGCTCACACACAGCGCCTGGTCCACATCCAATCCATGCTGAAGCGCGCGCCCAGCTACCGGACCCTGGAGCTGGAGTTGCTTGAGTGGCAGGAACGGGAACTCTTTGAATACTTTGTGGTGGTGTCCCTCAAGAAGAAGCCGTCCCGCAACACCTACCTCCCCGAAGTCTCCTACCAGTTCCCCAAGGTGAGTCCCTCCCAGCCCCCCACCTCCCAGCTCCTGCCTCTGCTCTTTCTGACTGTGAGGCCCACTTGGGAAGAAGAGATCCTGCTTCTGTCATGGCTTCCTAGCAGGTTCCCCCTCCCCACAGCAAGGAGAGAAGATTGGCTGGGCTTGGGCCAAGGCTCCTTCCGAGGACAAGGGCTGAGAACGCCTGTGCTTAAAATGCAATCCAGCCTATTTACCTGGATCACAGGGTCTTCAGAGCCTGGCCACTCCTGCTGCTGCCTCCATGGCTTTATGGATACCTAATTCACCTATTTAAATTTTAAAATCCATTGTGCCTTAGTATAGTCTCAGAGCTGTATAAGTCATCACCACACTAGTCTTCAAGCCCCACCTCCCTCAGCCACTGTATCTCACTGTTCTCTGCTCATTGCCAGCCAGCTTGGCCTCCCTTGTCAACCTATAATACTTAAGCCCTTTCTCTCTGCCCTTGCCTCCGCCCTGAATGTTCTATGTCCACCTTTCCCAGGGCTGTGGGCTATCTCTTATTTTTCAGTCTGCTCAAGTGACCTCTTTCCAAGGTCTTTCAGGCCCTGACGCAGCCCCTCTACTGTCACATCACTGTGCTGTTTCCTTTGGGCCTACTCTGAAATGCCATTGACTTTCTCTCTTCTGACCAGAGTGTGCAGGACTAGGGGCCTTGTCCTCTCTGTCCATCCATAGCCCCAGCACACCATCAGATGCCATGCGTAAGGTTGGCATTTATCCAGTGAACACGTGAATGAGGTTTCTGTTCATACTCGGCACTCTGCAAGGGTTAGGCATGGGACCTAGGTGGCTGAGAAGCATGAAGAAGGCTGGAAGAGTGGTGCTAAGAGTCTCAGGGGAGGAGATGCTTCTCAACCACCCTGACCCTTGTCGCCAGGTTTCCTTGTCATCTGGTGACCCCTTTCCACATTTCTCTTCTGATAGCTGGACCGACCCACCAAGCAGATGCGTGAGGCAGAGGAGCGGCTCAAAGCCATTCCCCAGTTTTGCTTTCCAGATGCCAAAGACTGGCTCCCTGTGTCAGAGTACAGCAGGTAAGGCCTGGGCTGGCTGGAGGGGGCAGGGACATAGCCTGCCCCAGGACTGTGGCGCTGGCCCTAGTCCCCACCTATACTATAGCAACCTGGCCCTGCCCCTGAGATGACAGTCCTTGTGTCAGAGGCTGTTTCTTCAGTCCTCTGGTAACTTCCCTGATGACAGACCTCTCTCTCCTCCTCATCTATTCCAGTGAGACCTTCTCTTTCATGCTGACGGGGGAAGATGGCAGCAGACGCTTTGGCTACTGCCGGCGCCTACTGGTGAGTAGGACTGCTCAGTCCTTAGGGGGTGGCCAGGGTGTTTGTATTTTTCTGTGTGCCCTTCTATGTGTTTAGCGCGTATGAAATTCTGTGGTCTTCACCCCAAGTCCAACACACACTCCCTACAACACACTTTCTCGGATGAGGCACTCCTGTGATAGCATGGCTCAGGGGAGCCCCTGGTGGACCCTGGGATCTAGAATTATCTACAGTAAGGAGAGGGAGTGGGTCACCTTTTACTGAGTCGTCCTATCTTTTTATCTTTGCTGTACTTTTCATTCATTTTCCTTGGGACTCTGGGCTCTGGCTGCTGATCTGATTGCAGTGCTGTCACCCCAGAAGGATGTGTATGTATATTAGCCTTGGCTGGCCTGGTGTGGGGAGGAGTCCTATCCATGGTCTGGGAAGACAGAGTCTGAGCAGGGATAGAGGAGTCCTTCTCTAGGACTGGGGACAGACAGATACCTGAAACTTAGGGGAAAGAGCTTGGGTTTTCAAAATCTAAGTCATTTTTTAAAAAGAAAAACTCTTTCTACTCCTCCTTCCCATCAGTCCTGGGAAAGAGCCCGAGACAGAAGCATGGAAAGCCAGAGGCAGGGCAGGACAGGGCCTGGCCCCCGCTACACTATCCCCGGATGTCATGGGTTATTGACAGTGCCTTGGGGTTTCCAGACCTCAGTGAAAGAAGGCCTCACCAGATACCTTCACCAGGTAGGAGCAGATGAAGGCAGTCCTTAGCAGGGTCCTACATAGTAGGACGAGACGACTTTATCATGGATCCTATCCACGAAGATCTTTAGCCAGTGTAGTAGGAAAGGACCAAGGGAATAAGCTTTTGCTTAGGACCTATCATGTGCTGAAATAGATGTTTTAAATACCAGATTTTGTTTTCTTTGATAGTCCTCATAGTTCTGTTATCCCTGACCTATAGATGAAGACCCTGAGATTCTGAAGTGCAGTAACTCACCCAGGGTCACACAGCCAGGGAAGGACAGCACCGAAGTTTACTCCAAGACTGTCATCACCAGTCTGGCACTCATGGACTCCCCTGAAAAGATAGCCTGGGGGAAGGGATATGTGACTATCAGATGCCCTGTGAGTGGGCCTCAGGGAACAGGGAGCAGTGCAGATGCCCGGGGCAGAGGTTGGCGGGCCCCCACCACCTCCCCAAGCCCAGGAGGAGTCCAGCAGATGCCGACTCTGAGGGAGCTTCTTTCCAGTGGGTCTGCTGCCCCCAGGGAAGAGCGTGTTTGTCCTGGCGCGCTCAGAGAGGGCCTAGGCTGGGTCCCTGCCAAGGGGGCTGGCACTAACCCGGCATTCCTGCAGATTGGACACAATGATTCTAACCCAAATCCCACATACTTGATTTAATCACTTGGGGCTTTAGGGGAGGCGGGAGAGAGGGAAAGAGAGAGGAGTGATTTTCAGGCCTAATATGGACAAAAACCGATTCGGCCTTCTCTTTAGATTGGTGACGTGTGGCCAGCAGGTTTGGAGACTGAAATAGCCCCATCTGCATTTGCTTAGCAGCCTGCACGAGGGGCCAGCACCTGCCGCTCTGCTTCCTCCCCACTGGACTGTGCCAGGCTCTCCCAGCCTCTGAGCTCTAGGCGGCCACAGGTCCTGCCAGCCCCTTGCTGGAGAGCAGATGCCGGGGACTCTCCCAGCCTATATGTGGGGGCTTTAGGCTCGGGGAGCTCGCAGTGCGTGCCCCTTCCCCCAGTGCCTACTTTTTACATCTTCTTCTCTGTTATTCTTCACTCTGTAGCATACCTCTGTCCTGTGTCTTTGTGTCCCTTTCCTTCCCTTCCTATCAGAAAGCAGCATGCTGTGAAGGTAAGAAAGCAAAACCAGAAGCCAAAACAGACTTCTGGGTCCACAGCCTCTAGATGCATGACCGTAGGCATGACTCAGTGTCGAACTCGGTCATCTCATCTGTATAGTGGGGACACTGTTGTCTTCTTCTTAGAGTACAGAGCCTAGCACCTGGATACAGTAAGCGTTTAATAAATAGTAGTTTCTTTCTCATCTTTTGTCACCTTTGAAGTTGGATCAAGGAAGGGAGAAAAGCCATAATATGCAGTGTCCCCATGAGAGGACATAAGCCTCCATGGCTTTCTGTTGAGAATACACACAGTTGGGGCCCAGCCTTAGGGATGTAAGTCCAGAAATTGCCCTGGAGCCCCTGGCTAACTGCTTTGTCCTTTTCCATCCACTGTCAGAGCGTCCTCCTGGGAGGGAGAGTGGAACCTGTTTAGGGCCTGGCATCTTGGGTTAGAAGACCCCGCAGGGGCCAGATTCTGCCTCTGGAGAATGGTGGCCTTTCCCTGGGGGCCCAGTTGGACTTAGATGAGGCGTGGCATCTTCCTTCACTAGGAGGCAGTGATTAGTGCTCAGGTGCCCAGGAACAGGAGCAGGCTGTGATACTCATGCCCTCTGTGTGTCTGTCTCTCTCTCTCTCCCGCCCCTCCTGGTCCAGCCAAGTGGGAAAGGGCCTCGGTTGCCAGAGGTGTACTGTGTCATCAGCCGCCTGGGCTGCTTCGGCTTGTTTTCCAAGGTAAGAGCTCTGGCTTGCTTCCCTGCCCCCAGCTGACAGCTCCCACAGGACCATCTGCAGCCAGCTTAGATGAGAAAACCACCTGGAGAGGGTGGGAAGGCAGGAGCAAGTATGAGTGAGCCCTCGGCCTCCCCCCACCCCTTCCCAGGCTGCACTCCCTTGCATCTCCCTGCTCTTTCTGTAGTCCAGAAACTTCTTTGCCAGGCTCTTGCGCCCTGCAACAAGGCCAGTTAAGGAAAAACAGCAGCCTCCAGGGAGTGCCAGGGAAAGTGGGAGCAGTGATGACGTAGTCACTTTCTCAGCTCTGGGACACAGTACCTGCCGCCCTAATACTTGCCACCCAGGCTTGAAGGAAGAGTTTATTTTGGTTCATGTTTTTAGTCCAGGGTCCATACTACAGAGACAGAAAGGCAGAGCAGAGGGGCAGAGCGGAGTGAAGCTGCTCACACCATGGCACCTGGGAAGCAGAGAAGGCAGGAGCTGGAGAGGGTGACGCAGGCCGTGCCCCCAGCGACCCACTGCTTCCAGCCAGGCCCCACTGCCTGGGCACATTTAGTTTTGATGCCCCCGTGGCCCCGTGGCCTTCCGAACACATGAAGCCTTTAAGGGCCCTTTCAGATCAAACCGTGACAGCGTGTGATGATCCCGGCAGTGCAGTCTTCCCAGTTCTCAGCTTCGAGCCCAGTGTGATCAGATGCCAAAGGTGGGGAAGGGCCACTCCTGATGCTCTTTCCCGGGGGGCTGCGGGTGCCCACGCAGGTCCTAGACGAGGTGGAGCGCCGGCGTGGGATCTCTGCCGCACTGGTCTATCCCTTCATGAGGAGTCTCATGGAGTCCCCCTTCCCTGCCCCCGGGAAGACCATCAAGGTGAAGACGTTCTTGCCAGGTGCTGGCAACGAGGTAGGGATATCTGCGGGGCTTCTCTCTGACAAGCGCAGGGGCTGGAGGAGGACTGGGCTGGCAAGGCTTCCATCTCTGGGTGTGCAGGGCACAGCCCCTTCCTTGCCACTGTGCAGTAGCAGTTGAAAAAGTGAACCATGGAGCTATAAATGTTGCTGGACTCTCAGCTCTTGGGTGCCTTCCCTGACCTATTTGGACTAAACTGCACTCCTTTTTTTTTTTTGTGATTTTTTTTCTTTTCAAAGTTTTATTGATAAACATATAGCAATGAGACAGCTTCAAATCAAATCGAAAGTACAGTTTCAACAAATAATACACTGCATACATTCTTCTCAGTGGTTAATTGCTGTACAAGATGCAGGCTTGTGATCCTACTTACAAACACCATTAGAAAAAATCATTCTATTCATTAAGAGAATGCAACTATATATCTATCCCAACCACTTTGTAAACTGCACTCTTATCTGCCTTGTTTTGACCATTTATTAAAAATATACTGCTAGGTGCTCTCTCACTATCAGGGATTGTGTCAGACCTTAGGGCAGAGTTAAAGAGGTGAAATAAAGAGCTCTATTCTCCCAGGAGTTTCTAGTCTAGTAAGAGACCTTGGAATTACTTAAATAAATACTTGTGTATGCAAATAGGTAACTTTTAATGGTATAAAGAGCCAAGTAAAACAAAGGACTCAGAGTGTGCAACAAAGGGTCTGCTTGGGACTGGGGTTGGGGATGAAAGTGACTGAAAAGAGGCTGGGGTGGTTGAGAAGGGGTGCGAGGAGGAGTGGGTAAGGAGGGACCAAGTTGTAGGGGTCCTGTCAGGCCAGGTCAAGGGTTACGCATTTCGTCTGACAGAGAGTTATGATGAGATCAGGGAGGCTTGACTGGAAGGATTGACTAAGTGTCTTAGAGAGTTTTAAGGACAGAGGCACTGGTGGCAAGCTCTGTGGGGCACCGGCTTTCATTAGGAGAGGAAAGGAGGCCATAGCTTCTCATCTGGCAGCATTGGTTTTCTCAAAATAGAAATTAAAGGGTGCCCTCTGAAAGTCAGAGAAAAGCCGGGCGTGGGCATGCACCCCTGGAATCCCAGCACTCAGGAGGGTAAGGTGGAGCATCATAGAGTTGAGCCCAGCCTGGGCCTCATAGTGACAGCATGCCTCACAAAAACAAAACAACCAAACAAATGAGCGTCAGGGAGTTGAGGGAAGAAGGAATGAGTGGGTTGTCACCCAGAGTGGGAAAGGCACTGACTTGAGAGCCACAGAAGTTTTCTGTGTGGTGGTGGTGCCTGCTGTGAGCCTTCCTCCCAGGCCCTTTCTCCCTGTCCCCCTGTGGAGACATCAGGATCAGTGGCTGGCCTGGAGGCCCAGCCCTACCCTGACAGTGATGTCCAGCCTGTCCATCCTTCAAATCTGGCCTGGCTGCCTCTGGACTGGACTTCTCAAGTCTTCAGTTTGGATTAGTGACTGATCCTTGCACCCTTCTTGCTTTTGTCTAGAACTCTTCCACTCTTTTCTCTGCAGAATCCGAGTCAGGAAGCCTGTGCTCCAAGATGCTTCCCTGGCCCACTCCACATTCCTTAGAGCCCTGTCTGCCTGCCCCTGTGCAGAAGTTCTCCCCACTTCCCGGCTCCTAACAGCCTCCAGGCTGTCGTCTCCTTGAGGGAGGGATGGGTGGAAAGAGACCGAGGGCTCAGGAGCATCCTGCGGGATTCCCAGTCCTGGGGCCTGGACACTGGGCACAGGCTTTGCATGGAGGGCAGCTGGCCCGGGCCTCATAGCCCTGCTTCCTCCTGGCCAGGTTTCTGGACTGTCTAAGTCATTCCTTGTTCCTGGTGTGGGACTTAGATAAAGGCTGAAACGGCAGGACAAGCATAACCTCTGGGCGGAAACTTTCCACCAGGAAAGGGAGGGGATGTGGCAACAAGGACATCAGCATTGCGTTCCCTGAGATGGTGGAGGCCATAGTCCTGGGATGTAGGCATTGCTTTCCTGTGGGCTGGAAAGCTGTGATGAGTTGTAGATTCTGGTCACTGTGAGGGCCCAGGCCTTGACCCGGGCAGATGGGAAAGAGAGGGGAGAGGGCCGTGCAGATCAGAAGACACGACTCCCTTGTTCTTCTTATTCCTAAGAGCAGGCACCTCTGTGCCCCGACTTTTGCCTATAGGTATTTGGGTATTTGGTGCTATAAGACCTGTGGTCCAGGGGGCGAGGAGACTGGAACTTACTGCAGAGCAGGGAGCATGCAAGTTCCTTGGAAGGAAAGGGAGGAAAAGGAGACTGTGCCTGCAGGAGCCCTGGTGGGGCCTGGGGCAACCTGACCTGGCTGCTTTTGCCCACATCCCCAACTCCCTCCAGGTATTAGAGCTGCGGCGGCCCATGGACTCCCGGCTGGAGCATGTGGACTTTGAGTGCCTCTTTACCTGCCTCAGTGTACGCCAGCTCATCCGGATCTTTGCCTCCCTGCTGCTGGAGCGTCGGGTCATTTTTGTAGCAGATAAGCTGAGGTAGGGGCCAGGGATCAAGGAAGAAGGGGGGGGGTGCACAGCCACTGATTAAGTCAACAGGTATCGAGCATGTGTTGCATGTCACAGGTGGTGATGTGTGTGTGTGAGAGAGAGAAAGGCTAACAAACCTTGCAGCAGAGTGCTAGGGGCGGGGGAGCACACAGGATGCCAGGATTGAGAATCCCAGGGCAGGACTGTGCCTGAGGAAGAACAGGGTTGCTTCTTCCTTTGCAGGGGCCATGCAAGTCCAGGTGCAGATGTGTTTATCTGGGGAAAGGTAGGAAACGGGGGGACTGCTTGGCTGCTGGCCGCATTTCCTCTAGGGGGACGCAAGACCACCTTTGTAGGGTGCTGGGCTGAGGAGGGAGAGGAACTAGAGCAGTGGTAGCACCCCTGCGGCATGTGCTGCAGCAGGCATATGAGCCAAGTCTCCCCAGTGTCACCCGTCGCCTGGCAGCTGAGCATCTGGTAACAGCACACATGGGGCAGTGTGGGCACTTTGGGACGAAGAGGTGGGTTTTGGGTTAGTTTGGGCACTCATCTCTGAACTAGAGGAAGAATGGCAATAAGGAGGCTGAGCCGTCAGTAGGATGGGTGAGGGCTGCCTGGAGAAGGAATTCCAGGGCTGGAAGCCCGGGAGCTGTGGAAAGGGCTAAGAGAGCAGGGTGGTTACTGGAAGTTCAGCCAGCCCAACTGGAAGATGATGTCCGCGATCAGAGATGCCAGAGAGCTGGTATAGGAGGAATGAGAAGAAAACTAGAGGGACCAGAGACTGGGTCCACATTGGCATTTATGATTTTGGAGTAGAGATGTGGTTGTGACCATGGAGGGGTGGCAGAAGTGGTGGTCATTCTAGGAAAAGAGAAGTGGGAGCTCCTCTCAGCAACTGATACTTTTGTGGAACAAGAAAGGAGAGCGTGGGACAGGCTGGGAGGCAATGGGACACTGGCAGTACCTGGTCTTCTGCTGTGTTTGTCTAAGGCTGTCTCGCAAGCAGGGCTTTCCCTAGAGCAGGGGAGTTAATTCAATCATTTGGATGCTAAGCTGCCTGGTTGTGTGCTAGGGTGTGTCAGGTGCTGAGATGAGGGCAGTGAGAACTTTTTCCTGGCTTGTCCCCTAGTAAATCCCTGACCCCGGGGCTATTTCCTTCTGTATGTATGAAGGGGTAATTGAAATGAGCAGGAGAAATGGTGTCCCTGCTGCGCTCATAAGGGGACCACATTCGCTGGCTTTTCCAGAGATGGCCAGCATTTAGAAATGAAGACTGCCATGCATGTGTTCCCATTGTAGCCTCAGTGCTTCTGGGGGCCAGCTTGAGGTGTTCAGTCACTCTCGGGGCCTTTGTGAAGGGGTCCAGCCTGGCAGTTGGGTCTATGTGGGCACCTGTCTACTACCTTCTGCCTTCTGCAGGTGGCCCCTAAGCCTGCAGCCCAAGGGTGTTTCTCCTGAAGGCTTCACCTCCCAGCAGTCAGGGCTGAGCTTCCTCTTGACCACTCCCACCACAGGCCAGCCTTGGTGAATACAGCTTTTGTTTCCTGTGGTTACAGCTGCCTCTGAGCACATTCCAGGACAGTTCTGGGAGGAAAGTACCCCAGGGTCCTATTCTTGGCCCACTCTAGTCATTTAAGTTGTGCCAGCTGTGGGTGTAAGGAAAGCCATCCTCTCCATCAGGGTCTGCCTCTGACCTGGGTGGGGGCCGCCCGTGATGACAGAGCATTGGTGAATGTCCAGATGTCCCTGTAGAACAGGGGAGTTGCCCTGCCATCACTGGGACCAAGTGGAAGAGTGAGATGGTTGCTGGGCTGCTCAAAGACAGCCCAAGACTTTATGGCTATTAAGTGAATTCTGTTGATGCAGAGGAAAAGTCAGGTTTGAAAATGCACTGAGCTGTGTGTGCTTGTCTGTAGTGTAGCCCCCCAGGGTGGAGGTTTTGGGTTTTTTTGTTTTTGAGATGGGCTCTCACCATTTTCTCAGGCTGGTCTTGAATTCCTGGGCTCAACTGACTTCAGCCTTCCAAACAGCTAGAGTGACAGATGTGTGCCGTGGCACATGACTCTTCAGGGAGGCACTCCGACCTGACAGATGGAGGCCCCTCCCTCTAGGTGCCCACACCGAGCCTCAGCACACGGAGGAGTGTGCACCAGCCTCTGCTGGCTGAGCATTTGAGCTGGCCCTCAGAGATTGCCCCCTGAGTCCTACTGGTCATTGGCTTGGGCAACTGAGCCCTGTGGCATCCTGGGTCTGGAGTCCTGGAGCCCCCTCAAGGCCAAGAGAGGGAGGACCTTACTGAGGCCTGGGAGGAAATAGGGGTGTGGGCACCTTCTGCTGATAAGAATGGTACAGGCCACTTCTCCCCCGCCTTTGTCAGATCACAGTTACCAGCCCAGGGGGAAGGAAGGGGAAGCAGGAGGGAAGAGCAAAGAAAGAAGCACTTGGATGGGAGAAAGCAAAACTGGCTGTGTCTTGGCTCTGCTACTTATGACCAAGGTGGCCCTAGGTTTTGCTGACCCAGCTGTGAATTCAGGACTGCCACCGGTACCTCTTGGCACCCTCCCAGTGCTTGCATGCTGTAGATTTGTTATTAGCTCTTGCTTTTGTATTTCTCAGCATGAGCAGATACTATGCATCTGGGTGGTCTGTATGTGTGTGTGTGTGTGTGTGAGAGAGAGAGAGAGAGAGAGAGAGAGAGAGAGAGAGAGAGAGAGAAGAGTCCTTGCATGTGCAAGTGTTAATACATACCTTGTGGCTGCTTCTAAGTCAAGTCCCCAAATGAGGGTAGTGTCAGTGTCTTTGAGGCCCTAAGCGGTAGCCAGGTTGGACCTTCACCATTCTGCGAGGTCTGACCCAGGGCCCTGAAACTCTTTAGCATTTTTGTTACACCAGAAAATTTAGTGTCAAAAGATGTTTGTTTGTTTTTTTTAAAAAAAACCAAAATGTTTTAAAGCTGGGCATGGTGATGCATGCCTGTCATCCCATCACAGGGAGGCTGAAGCAGGAAGATGGAACATTTGAGCCCACCTGCACAACTCTGTGACTCGAGACCCTGTCTCAAAATAAAGGGGGCAGGAGTGTAATTCTTTGTGAAGGCCCTGGGCTCAGTTGTGTCCTGAGCCCAAGCCATCTCGACTATTTGTCCCTGGAAGGTGCTGGGCCAGGCTCAGGTACCCCTCTCTCTCTGTCCGCCAGCACTCTGTCCAGCTGTTCCCACGCGGTGGTGGCCTTGCTCTACCCCTTCTCCTGGCAGCACACCTTCATTCCTGTCCTCCCGGCCTCCATGATTGACATCGTGTGCTGTCCCACCCCTTTTCTGGTCGGCCTGCTCTCCAGCTCCCTCCCCAAACTGAAGGAGCTTCCTGTGGAGGAGGTGAGGCCAGTGGGCAGGGGTTGGGAGGGAAGCAACCAGAACTCCACTTTGGGAGAAAGGAGGGCAGAGGGGAAGGGGGCAGAGGGGAAGGGAGCAAGGCTCTTGGAATCCCTCTTGGCTTCTGGGTCTGGGCCTCTCTCCGGCTCCGCTTGGCTTGTACTTCTCTCTCCCTGGGAGGTCTGTCCCAGCTGGAGGTGTTTCTGTCATCTGGCCCTGGAAACCTGGGGAGTCTGGAGGCCTGGCTAAGGGCACCACAGAACCCATTTCCTAAGCCCCTGCCCCTAATGACTCTTTCTCAGGCGCTGATGGTAAACCTGGGATCTGACCGATTCATCCGACAGGTAAGAACAGCACGCTGGAACCACCCACTGCCCAGGTCAGGCACCTGTTAGACTCGGGCTCCTGAATCTGACAATGTCAGACACTCACCGTTCACAGCCTGAGCCCTGCATTCTGTACTGAGTAGACAGAGCCGATCTGAGAATGCCTAGTCCCAGAAGGATCTGCCTATCTGGTGACATCACTGGTTTCTGAAATACAAGGGACAGGGCCCCAAAATGCAAAGGTCTGACCTCTGTTCTGCCACCTGAGAGCCATGTGGTCTTGGACAGGCCTCTGAACTTGTCAAGGTAATGTTCTGGGGCTGGAGGGATAGCGTGGCAGTCTGAGTGCCTGCCTGGCAAGCACCAGGACCTGGGTTAGATTCCTAGTACCACGTGCGGTGCTAGCCCCAGAACCCTGAGCACACTGTGCTGATCACCAAAACTGGGCATAGTGGTGTACACTTGTAATCCCAGCGCCAGGCAGCTGAAAACTGGAGGATCACTATGAGTCCAAGCTGCATAGGGAGACACTGTACCAAATAAATAAATAAAACACTTTAAAGAATTTTTTTTTTTAAGTGTTCTGGTCTGCAAAGTAGGGATGGTGATAACACCTTGAAATGTTGGCAGGGACAACAGGATGACCAGAGTGCGCTTTGTAGTGTGAAGGTTTGCACTCATTGTTGTCACGTGCAGTAAGCCCTTCTTCCTTATGGAAAGCCTGCTGGCTCTCTACAGAAGAGCATACTCCAGCACATCTGCTCTGGGAATGGACAGTACCTTACACACTGCTGGCAGAGCCAAATGACACAGAACCAGAATGCAGACAGGGAAGGTGGACCAGGCTCACACCTGAGACACAGGCTTAGCCACAGCCTCTCTGCCCTGAGCTCCCTGTCCCACTTGCAGCTGAGGATAAACTGGGGAGGAACTGGGAGACTTAATTCGTGTTAGGGACAGAACCTGCATCGGCTGCTCAGGACCAGTGCAGTCTGTGAATGTGTAAACTTGGGTAAGTTTCTAACCTTCCAATTCTCCATCATCAAATGAGGTGGATAACAGTATCAGGATTATAGGAGGAGCTACATGAGATTATGTCTATAAGCTTTTGAGAAGCACTTAACACACAGGAAGTGCCCATCAGCATCAGCTGGGATTACTATTCCGGGTCTCTTCCCCCTGTAGATGGACGATGAGGACACCTTGTTACCTAGGAAGTTACAAGCAGCTCTGGAGCATGCTCTAGAGAGGAAGAATGAACTGATCTCCCAGGATTCTGACAGTGACTCCGATGATGGTGAGGAAGGCTTGCCTGGGCAGCACTGGCGCCAGTCCCAGACTTTCTCTGCTCTGCTTCTGGGCCCTCTGGAGCTGGGACCCAGATTCTGTGCACCAGTCCCTTTCTGGCTGCTATAGCTGTGGTTGTAGGATGTTGATCTCGCTCTAGTGCCTTTTTGATTCCCGGAGGGCTGGGAAGGAAAACCCAGAGGTCATCACCGACTCTTCTGGCTCAAAGGATTGGGCCTTGCTTCACGCTGCTGCAGGAAATGGGAGGAGGGGAGTCTTCCTGGGAAGTCAGGGGAAAGTGGTGCGCTGGTCTTGGACTGTTTTCGTTCACCCGGCACATCGTGGCCAGCTTCATGTTCAGAGCAGTTTCTGACCTCTAGGAGCACAAGAGCCTCTTGCCAGTCTGTGAGCTCAGAAGATAACTGTGAGAACAGCTGAGGGGTGTTGGCTGAGGCTTAGCTGGGAGCAGGAGACCACGCCAGGGAGAGACTGGGAAGGCTTTGCAGGCCAGTGACCTGACCCTTACAGGTTTTCTCTTGCCTTCCAGAATGTAATACTCTCAACGGGCTAGTGTCCGAGGTGTTTATTCGGTTCTTTGTGGAGACTGTTGGGCACTACTCCCTCTTCCTGACCCAGGGTGAAAAGGGGGAGAGGGCCTTCCAACGAGAGGCCTTTCGGAAGTCTGTCGCCTCCAAAAGCATCCGCCGTTTTCTTGAAGTCTTTATGGAGTCTCAGATGTTCACTGGCTTCATCCAAGACAGGGAGCTAAGAAAGTGTCGGGCAAAGGGTAAGACTGGGGGGATTTTGAGGGCAGGGGGTTACGGGTCTTAGCAAACTTGTTTCCCTTCAACTTAACTGCATAACTAAGCTCTGTGGTAGAATCTCTTGGGGCTCAGGTAGGCCAGGCCCCTTTGCTTT